ATATTGATTACATTTCTTTCTTTTCGCTAATGTTTTACAATTGTCTGCGATTTGCATATATGTGTATATAATTATTATATATTATATGTTATATATTCTGTATGGATCTATATATTTCAAATTGTTGCATATATATATATATATGTTGTTTTCTGTAATTCTATATAGTACAATTCTCTATGGATCTATATACTTTAAATTGCTGCATACACTTCAATATAGTTTTTATATATACAGTGCTGCATACACTTCAATATAGTTTCTATATATAGTGCTGCATACACTTCAATATAGTTTCTATATATAGTGCTGCACATACACTTCAATTTAAGTGTATTTATGCAATTTAAAGTATATTGATCCATGGAGGATAGTAATATATAGAATTACAGAAAACAGCATAGTGATATATAGAACTATGTAGAATTATGTAAAGATATCTTTATGTAAAGATTATGTCTATTATTAGTAGACTGCGAATTCTATGTATTAATGGGGAAAAAATAAGTGGGACGAATATAGCATAATAGAAAGATTAGAGCAGTTTAAGAATGTTGACAAATTATTATGAAAGGAAGAAACAAACTTTTTAACAAACTACTACTTCTTACACCCGATGCAGATAATTATTTTTCACGAAGATTCGCAGTAGTTATTATCAGTACAAATTACATATTGACTTCATTCCGATAACATGGATATTTTGAAATTCGTTCAATATTGTGTTTGGAGAGTCAACGTCTGTTTGCAAATTCCGGTAATTAATGGACCAAGATATTGATGTCGTTTGAATATCGAAACCATCGGATTTATTTACACTGATCGGTATACCGCTGATTTTATACATTTATGAGAATCCAAGTGCGTGAAACGTGATCTAGCATATATATTGCGAGAATTTAAGGGGCGCCGTTGATTTCATTTTTAATTTAAGAGAATCCTTCAGAAAAGGTACATAGAAGCTTTTGCGAGACTGGCGCTTCTTTCAATTTCTCCAAGAATTTGTAGAATTTTACTTGCACCAAAAACTTCATGTTAGTAAAAACAGAATAGTGTGCAAATGGACTTTCCATTTTACATTCTGAGAATAATAACTATCGTTGTTCGAGTACGCGTCAAACAATACGGAATGTTTACTCTAGTCGCAGAATTTCTTTCCGCCGCTATTCTTCTGCTAACTTTTCAAATATATTGGGTTGGCAACTAAGTAATTGCCGATTTCAGTTATAGATCTGTCTCTTATACACATCTAAAGGTGTCATTTTCCAGCAGGACAATGCTAGGCCGCACACGTCTTTGTCCACTCGGCAAAAATTGATGGATATTGGTTGGGAATTGATGTTACATCCACCGTATAGCCCCTGTCTCTTATACACATCTAAAGGTGTCATTTTCCAGCAGGACAATGCTAGGCCGCACACGTCTTTGTCCACTCGGCAAAAATTGATGGATATTGGTTGGGAATTGATGTTACATCCACCGTATAGCCCCTGTCTCTTATACACATCTAAAGGTGTCATTTTCCAGCAGGACAATGCTAGGCCGCACACGTCTTTGTCCACTCGGCAAAAATTGATGGATATTGGTTGGGAATTGATGTTACATCCACCGTATAGCCCCTGTCTCTTATACACATCTAAAGGTGTCATTTTCCAGCAGGACAATGCTAGGCCGCACACGTCTTTGTCCACTCGGCAAAAATTGATGGATATTGGTTGGGAATTGATGTTACATCCACCGTATAGCCCCTGTCTCTTATACACATCTAAAGGTGTCATTTTCCAGCAGGACAATGCTAGGCCGCACACGTCTTTGTCCACTCGGCAAAAATTGATGGATATTGGTTGGGAATTGATGTTACATCCACCGTATAGCCCCTGTCTCTTATACACATCTAAAGGTGTCATTTTCCAGCAGGACAATGCTAGGCCGCACACGTCTTTGTCCACTCGGCAAAAATTGATGGATATTGGTTGGGAATTGATGTTACATCCACCGTATAGCCCCTGTCTCTTATACACATCTAAAGGTGTCATTTTCCAGCAGGACAATGCTAGGCCGCACACGTCTTTGTCCACTCGGCAAAAATTGATGGATATTGGTTGGGAATTGATGTTACATCCACCGTATAGCCCCTGTCTCTTATACACATCTAAAGGTGTCATTTTCCAGCAGGACAATGCTAGGCCGCACACGTCTTTGTCCACTCGGCAAAAATTGATGGATATTGGTTGGGAATTGATGTTACATCCACCGTATAGCCCCTGTCTCTTATACACATCTAAAGGTGTCATTTTCCAGCAGGACAATGCTAGGCCGCACACGTCTTTGTCCACTCGGCAAAAATTGATGGATATTGGTTGGGAATTGATGTTACATCCACCGTATAGCCCCTGTCTCTTATACACATCTAAAGGTGTCATTTTCCAGCAGGACAATGCTAGGCCGCACACGTCTTTGTCCACTCGGCAAAAATTGATGGATATTGGTTGGGAATTGATGTTACATCCACCGTATAGCCCCTGTCTCTTATACACATCTAAAGGTGTCATTTTCCAGCAGGACAATGCTAGGCCGCACACGTCTTTGTCCACTCGGCAAAAATTGATGGATATTGGTTGGGAATTGATGTTACATCCACCGTATAGCCCCTGTCTCTTATACACATCTAGATGTGTATAAGAGACAGATCTATAACTGAAATCGGCAATTACTTAGTTGCCAACCCAATAACTCTTGCTTGCGCCGAAGACAGATGTTCGACATCGACTTGTCAGGGAACGAAGCTCCGTACGAGAAACGAAAAAAAATGCCGCTCCACATTTCCCGGTTATTTTTTCATGTAAATTGGCGGGTTTTCGGGCTGCGCCGGCAGCTCGAAGATAGCTTGTGTTTCCCCAGAGTATGGAATAGTTATTATTCTTACCACCTTTGTATGGGCACGGATGTGTGGGGCCGCGTACGTTTCAAAGACCGTGCCGTTTCCGTTCTCCTTGTCGTCCCGTTTTCCGGTTTAACCAGGGTAAAACCGTCGAAGAACGCGCTAGAGGTTGTGAATCAGGGGGCTAGGGTGGGGCCATTGTTCCCTTCGGAGTCTGTCAGCGATTTACGGTCGCGGGAGGAACGTAACACGGGGAGAATTAACCTTGCAACGGGAATGGTGGGCATGACGGAATATTCTGCCGGATATGACGGCCTGCTAATGCTTCTTCTGCTATTGTTACCGTGGCTTTTGCGTGTTTCTCTGTGACAGCTCCGCGCGCCGGGTAATGCGACGGCGACATGTGTCGATTCGTATGTGAGAACGTGTGAAACGCCGCTCCACCGAAGGAATATAATGAGGGAGGAGACGGCGTTGGAAGCGGCGAGGGTTTTGATTGGAGTACAGTTGTTTTATCATGGGCCCGGGTGAAAGCCAGCGATTGGGTGCGGTTCTCTCGGCAACCGTGTCCTCCGGTCTTCGGATTTCGCACGTTTCAATTTTCTATGCGGCCGTCGGGACATACGGAGCGGAGCGATAACTCTGATCGCTTCAAATGTTTTCGTTATTTAGTGGTTCGATATTTTCGTTCGCTAAGTGCTTTGGTTATGTCAAGGTTATTTTTAATTAATTAATCAAATAATTTTTAATTCGTTACTTTATTAATTTTTAATGCATTACTTAATTAATTTTTAATTCATTACTTAAATAATCTTCAATTCATTACTCAATTAATTTTTATTTCATTACTTAATTAATTTTTAATTCATTCATTCATTACTTTTTAATCAATCAATTAATTAATTTTTAATCCATTAATCAATTATTTTTAATCCATTAATTAGTTTTTAATTCATCAATAAATTAATTTTTGAT